GCCCGCAGGGCCCTGGCACTGCCAAAGTGAAAGAATTGTTTTCTTACCTCTAAATTAATGTGCAGCTCTCCTCTACCCACAAGTAAATGGATTTCTGTTGAAGATGGCGTCATCCTTAGCCCTCTTTGAGGGTTTGTGAAAATTGCGTGCCGGCTTTGGAAGGAACCAGCCGGGTGCATGCTTTCAAAATCCTCTCACTGTGAAAACAGTGATACTCTGACTGAAGTGTCCACCCTTGCCTGGCACAGCAGTCACAGTGTAAATCGACGTGATCCACGCATTCGTGGACAGGCTGAAATGTAGACCGCGTGTAGTGTTTCTTGTTGGCTGGCTGCTGCCATCCGAGCGGGGTGCCTGCCTTAGCCTCCCTCCCTCCCTTGTCGTCAGCAGGCTGAGCCCTGCACCCAGGGGCTTCAGCACGCTGTTAGTTGACAGCAGAGTTTTGTGTTGGCTTCCAGAGCTTAAAACACAAGCAGATTCTCTGGGCAATGGGACACGTTAAGGATAGTATGGCTAAGCTTACACATATATTCGCAGCACTTGTTTGGCTTCACCCCAAAAGAGTCTAATTGAGAGCTCAACAAAACCACTCCACGGCCCGCACTGGTGAGATAGCACCTTGAAAGTGCACAGCTGGTCCAAACAGAGCCCCAGCGTAGCACTTAAGTTAGAGTTTTGATCCCCTGTTGCACATGAGTGTGAGCACAGTCAGGGACTGGTGCCTCTTGCTGTCAGTGCCCCTCTGCAGTCAGTGCTGCAGTGCAATTAAAACTGACCTCCCACCTCCTTCTGTCAGAGATAGGTAAAAAATATAGTACCTACGTAACACAAGTCCTAATCTGATCTAAACTGCTGATTTCAGATTTTTCCACAAAACTTTGTTGAGCAACCTTTGTATCAGCAAAGGTCATGCCTGATCAGCTATGGGCTGTTCTCCTGTGGCTAGCAGAAAGCTGGCATACACCCTCAAAGCCGGCATGCATGGTGTGCTCCGGCGGATTCGGCAGAAATCTGCACCTCTGGTCCGGTTCAAACAGTAAATACTGACAGTAAACTGATGTAATATTAACGATGTGGAACCATAGCCCTGGGCTTTTCATTCTTGGATCATTGAGCAAAGAATAAAGATGCTGTGCTTTGTATGGCTAAACTAAGGGTAGTTTACTACCTACTCAGGTGGAAACAAGTCCTTTGTATAGCTTGGTGTATTTTCAGCCTGATAATATTTCACCTACACTGATAGGTGACTAATCTGTGCTGCAGCCTCAGGGAGATGGCAGCGATTGTTTCTGCTAATGTGTCTGAGATTAATAAATTGACTTAAATGGTTTCTTATACAAAGATTGTGTGGCTGTCACCTTCTAGTTCAATCTTCATTTGACTGGAGATATTCATGCTATAACTGCTGCGAATAACTTGCTGGCTGCTGCTATTGATGCTAGGATCTTGCATGAGAACACTCAGTCTGATAAGGTGAGAATTATTTTCTAATATCCACATAGCATTTTTTCTTGACAGTTTTTCAATAAACTACATTTCAAAGCAAAATAAGTTGGTTATCTTTTTATATTTTCACCGTGTGAACAGAAACTATTGCCGAAGCCATTCTGTGTTCTGCTGGGAAATTATGGTTATAGAATATATTTTTTATGGCAAATAGCTATCATAAGATAGTCTTCAAAATAATGATCTTATGCCCAGAACCTTGTCAACTATTTCAGACTGTTCTAAATAGTCTAATAAAATGTTTTCCCTATATATAAATCTTATTATTTTTAATAATTTGTATACTCCTTTTAAAGTTAAAAATTACACTTCTGATGTATAGTTGGGTGTGATATACCTTAAGAAGAAGGGGTTGTGGGGAGAATAAACTGCATCCTATTCCCTCCACTAAATCTGTTGTGACCTTAACACAAATGCTAACTTGAGTCTTTAAAGGGAGAAAGTGAAGGAAGGAGCCTCCTTTTTTTGGCTACAGTGTTAAAAATGAGCAGGGTTGTCATATCGCCTTCACTTGATATGACACGAATGTGCATTTAAGCCAGTTTGCAAATGATAGTTATAGTTTGAATATTGGACCTTGGTTAAAGTTTTAAAGGGTTCCCAATTTTAAAAATAATACATATTTTTTTGGTGAAACAGATACACAGTCATTTTGGTAACTGGATTTAGAGCGTTGAATCATAGGCATTGCTCAAAAACCTACCACCTTTTCAGAACTGTTTTTGAAATGGCTAACCGGAAGTCCACAACTTACATGGTTGGGAAATTCTTAGTGAAATTAGTCTAAATAAAAAAAAGCATTTGCTTTTTATTTAAATAGTTCCTAGTTGTAACTGTTCTTTGTTTTATTAACATCTTGTGTGTTTTTTCTAGGCTTTGTATAATAGACTGGTTCCAGTAGTTAATGGTGTGAGAGGATTTTCTGCTATTCAGCTTGCCCGTCTGAGAGTAAGTTGTTAATGTACTCTCTCCTCAATTATAGTATCTCTTCATAAAAGCCACTCTTTTATGCAACTTGTTTAAAATTATTTGATGTATGGGACCAAGTTTGTATAACCCTCCCTCACGAATTTATCAAGTCTGGACTTTTTTCTCAAAGCATCCTCCTTTAAGTAATAGGATCTGAGTCTGATAATATTTTCATAACCAACATTTTTGCTGTTCTTTTCTCCTGAAATAAACCAATAATGTTTTTAAATGCTGTGTCTTTCCTGATGAAATATTAAATTTAGAGTTTTTAAAATACTTTTCCTATTATGGTAAAGTCACATTTGAAAGCTCACATTCTTTGGTTTTGCAATATTTTCTGGTTTTGAAAGTTTATTATAACATATACTTCTGGGTTTTCTTGATGTCAATTTGACAGTGTCCTTTGAGGGGCTGAAGTACATTTGTGTGCATAGTGTATTTTTGCATCCCATCTCGCTTCCAGAAGAGCTTCCTGTGCAATTCATGTATGAATAACGTATCTGGATATGAGGCTGCCATTCTGGTAAATAATGAGAGCGCAACACAGTCCACTAGCATAGGGGAAGGAGAATCTGAACCTTAAGGACAGCTTTGGTCTTCCGCTTCTAGTTCCCTGTTTGTTGTTGGCTTTTGAGCCCTGACCGGTATTGTTTCAGAGTCACCGGATAGCAATGGACAGCTGCCAAGTGCGCACTTGGAATTGGGGGGTGGAAAGGAGGATAGAGGTAATATCAGCTTCTGTTTTGGAAAAAAAAAAAAGTTTCTCATAACATTTTAAGCTTTTGTGCTGCTTGGTTGAAAGACAGTAAACTAAAATGTGATGATACCTACTTGTCTCTGTGGCAGAGTAGATCTCACAGCATTTTATGTCAGAATGTTGGAGTATTTTTTGTTTTGTCCTTGTTTACGCTGTGTGTAGGGTAGGGGAGGACAGGGAGTTGTTTGGTTATTCATGACATACTAAACTGTCTCTGCAGCTGAGATGGATTTCTGTCTCTTCACATGAGCTGCAACTGAGTAAAAAAAGTTTGGCTTTATAACATTCAAATACATGCATCATAATTTCCAATATAACTGAGTTATTTTGCTGGTATAATGATTCCTTATAACTAAAAAAGAAAAAATCAAATGTAAAAAGATACCTTTATGGGATGGGGTTACGTTGGGTTTTTGTTTTTTTTTTTCAAAAGAGGATTATTAAGATTAAAACTCCTCCCTTACATGTATGTTTTGGACTTGTAATTATAGAAAGTCCCATGCAATTTTTTTTTTCCAAACTCCTTGTCTAACCTCAGGAGCTACCTTCCTCATTCCCCTGCTCCTCAGCTTTTTTCTCTTTTCTAATTATTAGTTCAAGACCTCCTTACCTTACCTCCTCTCTTTAACTACTTCTGTCCCAGACTTTTCTTTGGTTCTTCTTAATGTCAGTTCTGTGTCTTACTCCCTGCCATCTGCATCCAGATCAGTCAGCTTTTTTCTCGCTGCTTAGATCCAGTATAGATGCCTTTGAGACCCTGGGAGAGATAGGTTGCTTCCTTTGCAGTCCCAGTGCCCAGTCTTCCTTGCAGCAGTTGAAAGTTATAAAAATGACCAAAAATGTTGCTGTCAACCCTCTGTGGCAAAATGCTCTGGAAAAATGTATCTGGGCAAATGCCCAATATGCCAAGCAGGAGGGATGAGCACTGAACTCTGACTGCCATGCCTCAGTAGAGATGCTAGGATATTGCTCCTTTCTTGATCTGCCTATTTTCATAGAATTTGTAAGAAACTATCTCCTAACTATGTCAAATTGGATTAAAATTGGCCAACAGATTAGGAAAATAATGGATGCAGGACTGGCAGTTGAGGACATAAGCCTTTCTTCATTAAAAGTGGGGTGAAAAATCTTAGGGTACCAAATGTCAAAACCTGAAAGCTGTTCTCAACAGCTTTTGCCCTTCTCAGTGCAGTAGGAAATGCCCCAGTGCCTGCATCTGGATCTGAAAACATCCCTCCCAGTCCGAGAGACCAATCCTCAAAAAGGAGAGTAGTGAAAACAGTTTTAATATTCTCAAAAGGATGTCCCCAACTTTCTAGAAATAACTGTTGGTTTAAATAGGGAAGTAACTGTAGTAGCTCTTTGCAACTGAGTATTTTTAGACTTTTAGATTTGCTTTATTTTTAGTCCTAAAGTATAAGCATGTTGGTTAATTCACTGAGGAATGCTTTCTAATGCCATAGAAAATTAAGATTATTTTTATTCTAAGACAGCAGTTCTTAAACACAGTTTTCTGATCCATCTTTATGTAGATTCACCTAAAAAAACATTTGGTGTTGCTGCAATAGTGAATCTATAAAAGCCAGGAGGTATTGGCTTGTTCATTATAAGTGAGTTTATGGATGATGGGCTCTTAAAGCAGAAGTTTTTATTTCATTCAAAGGTGATTCACACAAGATGATGCATGGGTCTTTCAAAGACTTCCACAAACTAGAGCAAGCATTTAATTATCTTTTTATTAGTAACTGACAATGTAGAATTTTCTCTTTGGTTTATATTAAGAGTTTCTTCTGTGTAAGAAGGAGATTGTTAATTTAATGGCCTATGAGTATTTCTCCCTTTTTTTTGTTTAATTTCTCTATCTACATTTGCCCGTGGCTTAGTTACAGGTGGTTTCCTATGTGCTTTTTTTTTTTTTTAAATAGTTTTGGTCCTGACATACTTCTTTCCAAAATGCTTGCTGAAAGTGGGGGTGATAAGCCAGAGCAGCTATACCTTTTGAAGCAAAAAAGCCACTTCATTGCATTTCTTTAACTTGTTTTTGCGTAGAGGCTGGGAATAAACAAGACTGATCCTGAGACTTTAACAGAAGAGGAGATCAGCAAATTTGCACGCCTTGATATTGACCCATCTACCATAACATGGCAAAGAGGTACGTAGTCAAAAAGCCTCATTTCAGCTTGGATGTAATTATAACCTCTTTCCTAATTTGCTTAATTTTGCCTGAATCAGAGCTGTTTCTGCTCTCTGACTATAAGAACAACACAACAACCCATTTGCAAGTGGGAAATGTGGGTGTATAATGAATTTGGGTGTAGTATGTTGCTCTAAACTTGGTCAAATACCTGTGGTAACTCAAGAGATTTTGCTAATATTCTGAAAGATAGGTTGCTCTGACAGTTTAAGTACATCCCTTGTCTCTCTCACATTAGATAATACATCTTAAAACATATGCAAGTAGCTTTTCTGTGCATTTTACAAATCTTATCCATTCTTTTCTTGACTGTGTCTATTAATATGTTAGATTACTGATACTTACTCTACTTGATTTTGGTCCCTCATCCTCCCCAGCTCAGTAGTCTGGGTAGCTCAGAGGCTAAACAGGCCTCAGAGATTATGAGTTTTTCCTGTTTTTAAAGTGTCTTGAGTTGTTTGCTTTGTTAGGAAGAAGAAGTGAAAGATGTTGTACGGTTTCAACTGTGTATGCCAAGCAAACCAATATCCACTCTCACACCCTTAGACAACTCCCTTCTGCATTTTGCAATTCTAGTGCTGGGTTAAATTTCAGTGTTTACCTCAACTTCTGTATCTCTCTTTTTCTTTTTTAAGCAAGTAAACTCTGCATAGTTTTGAGCTAATCCCTTTGGATTTTATTTTCTTCCTAAATTCTCAAACATCAAAGTTATTATTTCAAAATCGTTGTTAAACAGAATGTACTGTGATGCTCAGAGGAATAATCTATTGAATCTATTGAGAAGTGAGGAGTCTTGGCCATGCTTTACTGTGCCCTTTGTGTGCATGTCATCTCAGACTTGGGATATTTCTCTCAAGATAATACTGGGGGATGTGGCATAAGATGTTTTTTATTAGTCACACAGTGTGTCTGGACGAGACCTGTATTAGGATGAAGGACTAATATAAATATTTAGTGTAGTACGACTCATCGTTTTTATCAGCATGGGTTTGGGAGGAGGCAACATTACTCAACAGCTGTTAACCTCAAGTGAGTTATTTAATTAATCTCAAACAATGTTAGTGAAACTTCTATTCCACACAACTCTATAAGATGTTAATCTCAAACATTTCAGAAAAAATTTGGTTTTAGGAATGTTTTAGATAACTTGGAAAATATTTTATTTGGGACTGTTTCTGCAATCTGTATGTCTGTGAAGCTTGTTACGTACCAGGGAATTTGTAGGGCAGAAGAGAAAGCTATCAGATTGTCTGAAAATTAATTTTAGTCAGGACCTGTTTCCTTAGAAATGTCACAAACTTAAAGTTCATTGTCATCTTATACTAATTTGAACAGGTACAACATACTCAAAAGAAGGAAAGCTTCCCCCTACTTACCCTTCCCCTGGTATTCAGATCCTGTTTATATCTTTAGAGGATAAGGAAGTAGATTCATTAAACCTAACACTTGGTTGAACCTAAACTTTCCTGAAACATTTACTTTGGGTAAGGAAGAGGGAAAATTTGCAGAAAGAAAAATTGCTTTTGTGGCAAAACCAATTATTTCTTATTTTGTTACTTCCGAGTGCAGCTGTTGGAATCTTCCTGGAGAATGAATTCTGACCATGGTGAGAAAGCCAGTGTATCCCGGTGACCAGAAAGAGTAGCAGGGGTAGTTAAAATTTCATGGTAAGGGTGTTCGGGTTACATTATTTCACTAGGAAGGGCCAGATAAAAAGCAGCCCACTGGCTGTCCAAGCTGGTGGGAAGGCTAGTTCCTGTTCTCAGCAGCGCCTGGGTAGGCAGGAAAGACGTTTCGGTCTCCTTAAGGCTACTTGTAAGACTGAGCTTCCTAGGAGGAGAAGGGGTAAGTTTGTGCTTGAGAGATCAGCTTGCCATATGGCTTCATGGTGGCATATGGTACCACAGCTTGGTATGAGGCTACTGCTTCCATGTACCAGGCTCTGTTTTGCAATTTCTGCCAGTACTGTAGTATTTTAGAGTATGACTGCATATAAATAGAAACCAAAATGAGCTAACCAAATCTGTGTGTGTTGCACCGTACCTTAAATGGAATTCCTGAAGAAATTACGGGCCTAAATACCATGTAGTGGGAAGCAGGCACGTATGGTATTTACAACAGCCCCATGAGAAATGCCCAAGAAGGGGAAGTGGCTTAAACCTTGCTTTTCTCCCAGCTCACTCACAACCCTGAATTGGAGTTGTGTAGGATTGAGATTCAAAGTCCCTCTTGTTCTTTGTTAATTACATTGTCCTTTTCTGTACAGACAAATTTTTTAATCTCCAAAAGCAGCAGAAAAAATGGGAGGAGGTGATTTCACTGACCTTCAGTACAGACAACTTCTCCAGAGGTTCCTTGTTTCTCTGCTTCTAAGTGAACAGGGCTCAAATCTACATCTACCATGAGATTGACCTGATTTCCAAGCTACAGGCTGAACAGATCAAGAGTACCTTCCACCCTTTCTTTTAGGGTTGGTGCAAATTGAAACATTTGTAGTGCTAAAGAGCCCGTAAGAAAGAGGGAGCCTATTTTTGCATTCTTGTAGGCATTGCCATTCCTGGGAAAGAGAGGTCTTGGAGTTTGGTCTCGTTTTGTAACAAACAGAAACATCCTCCTAATGCTTCTTTCTGAGAAACATCCTGATCAGTTCTCAGCAGATGAGAGAGCTCTTCGATTATTCTCAGTCCTTCCTTTTAGTTCCTACAAAGGCACATTTGAAGTTAAATGTTGTCAGTGCAGAATTGGAGAACTTGGCTTGCGATGATTGTTAGTGAAGTTAGCAATTCCACAGGATGGTTTGGACATGCCCTTGCAATACCAAAAGTGTTTCCAGGTTAGAAATACAATTGTCTGAAATTGAATTTGTGTTAAATAGCAGATGGTTGATCTTGGCAGTTGAAAAAAACCCTTCCTTTGAATGCTGTGCAGCTGAATGTGGAGTTAGTTACTGTGATATGCAAGAAAGTGACTTGTCTGGAAGAACCAATCTGACAACATAATCATCCTTTAAAAGAGAAACAGACCAAGTTTAACCTACATCATGCAGTCTTAAAATCAATTCTTAACAATTCAGTGAGGAAGCAAATGATTTGAAGTAGGTCTGAGGTGCATTGTACCTAAGACAGATTTTTCTTATGTAAGTAAAATACTAATTTGTGTGTAAGAATCTGTTAGCTTCAAATACTGTTCAGAGAAATGGTATTACAGTTACTTCAACCTGTCATCTAATGGTATCAACTAGAAGGGAGAAACCAAGTCAGTGCTAATGCTAACATGCAGGAGTGTGGCTGGCTGGTTACACTGTTCAAGGAGCTGAATCTTACATGTATAACAACAAGTAGGTCTGGAAAAACCCAGATCCCCAAGTCCTTGTTAACATGTTTTGCTTTTACTATTCCCTTATTTCAGTGGTGGATACAAATGACAGATTCCTGCGCAAAATAACAGTTGGGCAGGCAAATACAGAGAAAGGATTTGTCCGCCAGGTATGTAAAGGCAGTTAATATACCTCATTCTGGACAGACTTTGCTTTAGAGGCTGAGATGTGTTTCTGCAGTTCTTTCAGCATACTTCTTTGAATTGCAATGCTAACATAGTATTCTTGCAGTGGAACTGATTTTGTTAATGAGTAACAGTCTGAAGTTTCAGAAACAGAAACCAATTCATATTGCACAATGTGTTGAAAGCACTTGAAAAAATTGCCTGTATTAGGGGTTCAACACTGTCATCCTATGAGGATAAAAGGTGCCCTTATGCCCTCATAAGGTTAATTTGTATGATTTTTCTTTGTTAAAGTTCCTCAAACTCTATAGTGTTTATGTAATTTAAATTACACCTAAATTTAATGTTAAAAACCTGGAGGAGGGATGGGTCATGTTTTTGGTCCCATTGGTGAGGACTGGAAATGACCATTAGCTTTTTATTCAGAATTTTCATTTCCCTATCATGCATCTCAGCTTTGGGATCTAAACTGTGAGAACTTTGAGCATGTGCTTCATTTTAATATGTGATCTTGAAGGGATAGTTCAGAAAATGAGCATGTGTGTACTTTTTAGCAGTGTAAAAAGCTAACCTACATTACTGTATGGGAGCTTCTGCAAGTTTATTCACTTCCTGATAAATTCAAAGCCAGACCTTCCCAACACGATCTGAACAACTGTTCCTGGTGTCATGTGGGTAAATCCATTTCTGAAACAATGCAGTGTAGAACAGCAATGCCAGGTGGAACAAACTCATTGTGATGTGGAGTTGCTCCTAATTTGATGAAGATATTGTAATCTAACATTCTGGGTCATGAAATTCATGAAGTTCTGACTATTTTGAGGTGAAGTAAATAGCTACTGTGGTAGAGATAAGGCTTTCATTCATTTTGGAAATCCTGTCTTTAATTTTTCTTTATCATTTCAGACCTCTTCTAGGCTTTGTGCCTAAATAAAGAGACCAAAAAATAGTGCTAATGCTTTTGCTCAATTCATCAGGTAAAACAGTCAAATTGGAGAGAAGAACTTCAAAGAGAAATCATAGAATCATAGAATGGTTTGGATTGGAAGAGACCTTAAAGACCATCTAGTTCCAACCCCTCTGCCATGGGCAGGGGCACCTTCTACTAGACATGCTCGCTTGTTTTGGTTTTAAACACACGAGATAGAGACTTTTCTGTCTATAACTTACAGAAAACTCAATATTAGCTAATACTCATCTCTGATAATGAGCAGGGACTATTTGCTTGGTACAAGTTCCTTCAACAGTTGAGATGTTTTCCTATGTTTAGATTTGTTTCAGTGACTCAGTGTGATTATAAGCTTTAAGCTAGGTTCTGCCGGCCTTATTGTGCAGCATTTTACTACTGTAATTATGCTGCTGGGTTAAAAGTGGGTTGTTTTATTACACAGTACTAGTTGACATATGGCTGTCAAATGTTGCTTCTGTACTGTTTTGGCTAAAATGCCCTTGATGCTTTCAATTTTGATGTGTTGGACTGATGCATATTCATTCACATTTTAACATGGACTTAGTGACTCAAGAAATAGAGAACAGTTGGGAAGACTCATTTCGGAGCCTAGCCAGAGATCCAGAGAAAACAGAACTTCATAGTTAACAGATGCATTTTATAAATATTTGGAGTGATGTTCTAGCACTCTTAAAATCAATGACACCTGTGTGAAATGGCAGAGCACAGCAGGCACAAAAGTCTGCATTTTAATGAACAGGGATGCTGTGGTTTCTAAAGAGTATTACATGACCGATGCCCTTGATCCTGCAATTGAATCCATGTGGGTGGATCCTTTCATCAATAGAGAACTGACTTTACAGCTAAGGTTTCTGTCAGCACTTCGTAGGTGTATAAAGGTTATTAGAGTTAAAATAGCACCTGCTCCCACAGTCTTTTGTGCCTGTTTTTTCAATTAAATATTATGTCACTCTTTGAGCATCTACCTGGGATTGTTTTTCCTGTCCTTTTGGGTTTATACAGAAACAATGATAATAAAACCTTATTTTTTCGTCTCCTGATAAACATCCTGATAAAGTTAGATAATATTCCAGTATATGGGTTGGGCATAGATTTCTCAGGCTTATTTTCTGTCTTACGTATGCTGCAATGACTTACTGGGGACATTTGTAACTTCAGAAAAGAAGTAGCATCAATGTCATTGCAATGCTAACCATGTTCGTTGTGTACCCAGCTATTCTGTTATGTATAGAGCTGCTTCCAGGGAGTACAGAAAATCTGCTTTGTAACTTCAGCATTTCATTTGAATCCCTATGCCAAAAATCTCACAGGATTATTTTTTGTATTCCATGATATGTATCTCTCCCTGTCTGTGCCCAATGCAGAAAAGTGCTCAGGTGTCTTCAGAAGTTTTGACCTAACATGCAGGTACAGAGAGGTCAGCCTGAATAGGGCTGCCCTGGGCTGTAGCTCTCAAGACAGAATCTAAAAGCAGGAACATAGGTTAAAAAAAGGCAGAAGCTGTTAAAGTACTAGACAAATGGATAGGAGTGGTAAGGTGTATGTACAGATTGAACAATTCTCTGTGTACGTGCTTAAAAACAGGCAAAGCCCTCAATTTGAACAGATTCATCTGGTATTAGTCAGTATGGGATACGTCTGGTAGAGGTCTGACATAGAAACAGTCTTGGGGCCTTTTTTAAATAGATAGCAGTAGGATGTCAATTACTACATTTTTATATAGACTTTAGTTGTTGAAGGTGGAGAGATTATAAAGAAGCTGTAGTTCTTGTTTGCCCCCAATGTTGCATTCCTATCATGTAATATGTTAATGACTTTGCCTTTCTTCTCTGTTTACGTTCTGACAGCATGTGGCCTGGGTTGTACTAATAGTAAATTAGTACAAATACTGCTAATGTATACTGCAGGCTCTTAAAGACAAGTAAGGACCACAGCTTATGTTGTGCTGAAATACTGCACAGTATGGATGTAAGTCTACAAGAGCAATAGAACTGATGCCACATACAGTTCTTGGGGTTTTTTTTAAGCTTACATATTTGTTCATTTTAAAAAAAAATGGGGGCTGAAGATATATTTTACATTATCATAGGTCAAGCACAAGACCTAGCAGCATAGACTCTAAATTTTGAGTTTATGTAGAAAAAGAATGATCAAATCTAACAAGAATGTTTTTGAAACCAGAATAAAAAACTTTTGGAGAGCATTACAGGAAAAAAAAAAACCCAACCACAATGCTGTGCTCATGCCAGTAAAGCTCAAAACACATATGGTGATTTTCTTTTTTGCTGCAGAAAAAAATTCTTGGTCCTTCAGGGAGATTCTGCTAAGGATAATGTGAGCCAAGGGGCTAAGCACTCTGCAAGACTGGTCCCCAAGTAAATGAGGTGTAACGGAGAACGTTAATGAGGAACTGTAAACAAAGTGTTTCAAGTTACTCTAGTCTGAGTAATTTCAAAAGCTGTGGGTTATAATTTGGAACTTGTTTGAATTTCAGTGTGAGATCTGTCTTTCTTGACTCTATTCCTGGTGATTCCCTGTAAGTATTTGACCTGACTTTGATTTGGTTCATGATTCTCATTTCTATTTTACAGGCTCAGTTTGATATTGCTGTTGCCAGTGAAATTATGGCCATCCTGGCACTTACTACCAGTCTGCAAGACATGAAGGAGAGGCTGGGGAAAATTGTGGTGGCTAATGACAAGAAAGGAGAACCAGTAACAGCAGAGGATTTGGTATGTTCAGTGCTGTAGACCTGTGAATAACCTCTGATGTGCTTGTTTTGCATCTTGAAGCATTAGAAAGGCAGGTGCATGCCAAGGATTTTCCTTTGAACAGCACAGTCAGATATCGAAGAAAGATCATCTTCTGGGCCAAAACTTGCTCACAATGAGAACAAGATGTAGAATTCATTGCTTCAACTCTCTGGTAACATCTGGTTCAGGAAGTCTCTGGTCTCCATAACCTACTTGGATAGCTTTCTGCAATTCTTAAGGCAAACAAATTTGGTGCTGGAGGGAGGCAGAGTGCGGGCTCCTATTTGAGGGAGCTGGTAATATTTGCTACTGTACTTGTAAAGTGTGCTCAGATGTTACAGTGATAGTTACCACATGAATGCTTATACCACTAAAACAGAATGGAAACAAGCTATTCTTAATTCATAGGTTGCTGATAGTGCTTGGGAGAGGGTTATCTCTTCACATTATTAAGACTTTTTCTTCCTTACCTTCATTAGTTAGTTGCTGTTTCCTCATTCCCTACTTCAGCTTCTGAAAGAAGTCAATATGTTCTTCCTTTATATCAAACTCTAGCCCTTATAGCCAGGCTGTGAGTCAGTAAACAGTGGTTGGAAGCTCACACATGTTTGTGTATGGCAGGTTCTGGTACAGCCAGAAGCTACCAGTTAACCCTTGCAATCCAACTGTATGCCAGGAGTAGGCTCACTGTGATTGGCACTAGTTTACTGTAATATTACATTACTTGAATTCTGAAGCCTAATTGCTGAATTAAGTTCATATATTGCAGATTGACAGCACACCCTAAATACAATAAATTTGATAATGCTTTGCTTTTATGCTTTTTTATCATACAAACATATCCTTATAGGAACTGTGATATGTCTTGGAGCCGTGCTTTCATGCCACACTACTGGCAATGACTGCCTGTATCACACAGGCTATGTGTGTTTTTTCCTGTTTGTCCCTTTTATGTGGACATCTGCACAAACTTACTGTGTTTTTAGAATGAGCAGAGTATCCTGCCTTGTCAGCAAAGATAGCAAATCCACAAGCCAGGAATACCTTTAAAGCCTTAATGGATTCCAGTTTAATAAGGAAATGAAAATATTATATCTAGCTTGCCTGGATTTAAGATTGAAATGAAGGTAAGGGTACCAAAATTTCTAAGTACAATCATCATTAAAATTCAAAGCAAATCAGTTACTCCCAATTATGCAGGAGACGCGAACTGCATTTAATATTCTAGCTGTTGAAGTTTTGATTTTCCTTTTCAATTGCATAACTTTGTCTTGGCCAAATGGAGGGGGATGGGGAATGAGTTACCTTATAATGCATATGCAAAAACTTTAAAATAATTCAGTGTCAGAATTAAAACTACATTCAGAATACATTAATTTTGATGCTACTTTTGTATGAAGGTACTTCAATGTATTAATATTGCAAAATCCCTGGAAGTGTTCATCCCTGGAAGTGTTCAAAAAATGGGTAGATGTGGCACTTTGGGACATGGTTTAGTCTAGTCTACCCTTGATTGGCTTAGAGTAGACTTGGTAGTGTAGGTTAATGGTTGGACTGGATGATCTTAAAGGTCTTTTCCAACCTAAACGATTCTATGATTCTATGATTCTAAATACTTAACCTGTCTTCAACCACTTAATACTAATCAGCCTGATGAATTAAAGTAGTTGCTTTTCTGTAGTCTATTTCATCTATAGTTACTCTGTGGAATTATGTTAGGGCTGAAATTATGAAGTCACGCAAAGAACTTCAAAATTTTTCCACTGTGTTCCTGAAATGAAAGGAGAGCTCAGCAAAACCTCTGTTACCAATTCAGTTTTCTTGGCCTTTTTTTAAACAAACTTCCTATGCTTAGCATCTCAGTTGTTTGATAGTGTCGCTTGTGCTGGAAATATGTTTCTAGTTCTTCTTTAAAGCAGTGTTCTATATTATACAATAGAGGAACTGCCCAGAAAAAAAAAAAAAAAAAATCATCACAGTGTCAAGGATGTGTATTATGACCATCTGCAGCTACGCTGCTGCATTCTTCTTCTTCTTCAGGTTCTCTTCTTCATACCATGCACAGGGAGGACTTGGGTGCGTATCATGATTGTCAAGTGCAGAAGCTCCTTCCTCCTTTGTTGTGGAGTGTGATACAAATGAGGATGAGAACTATGGGAAGAATAGGAAGGCGATTTCATGGTTAAGGCAGAAAAGTGCCTTTTTGGAGAGTTGAATTCTGTGTCCATACAAACTGATTCTTACAGTACATGAGGAGTTGTGTGTACCTCAATCTGGCTTGATACCCAGGAGCTAAACAGCTGAA